AGTACGCACATCATAGGGATACACCTTGACAAGTTTTCAAAAACTGAATACACAAGTACAACTAGCACCCAGATCAAGAAACAGAAGCACCTTGTGCCCCTCTTCTAGTCACTACCCACTTCTAAAGAGTAACCACTATCTTCACTTCTAACATGTTACTTTTGCCTGTTTTTGTACTTTTATAAATAGAAGTATATAGTATGCAGTATAGAAAACCTTTACATTGAAACTCCATGCCTTGTAATACTCACCATAATCTTCTTGTACAAGGCCATGACATTATCGTCATCAAATGGTAGAAAGCCACACATAAGTACATATAAGAGTATGCCCCTGCTCCAAACATCTGCCTGAAAGGGAGAAAAAATAGTTCAAAAAAATTTAGAACATATTTCAGAATGGCAGTACATGTAATAGAATCACAGATTCTTCACAGAGCTGGAAAAGGGCTCAGAGATCATCCAATTCAACCTGCTCATTCTACACACAGGGAACCTAAAGCCCACAAAGGAAGGTGGCCCAAAGTCACCCAGTCAATGGCAGGCCACCCAGGTAGACCTCCCGACTTCTAGTTCAGTGCACTCTCCTCTACTGCTGGACTCTAAGGCTTAATGGACAGTAATTTCCAGGTGGCCTGGCTGGATTGGGCATGATAAGGAAGGAGATGAGGCCGTCTTTGATTCTGAGAGACAACTGTACAGTCCTAAAATTTACTATTAATAATCTGCGAATGTGACTAAGCTCAACTGTAAAGTCCCCTCCATGTAGAGAAACCTTAACGAAGTTCAACAACTGACTTTTCAAATATAGAGGCTAGAAATTAGCCTACCAGCACAAATAGCCCTACAAATATCAAACTCCCAGGAGGTGCTTAACCTCTATATAAGCTACCCATGCGTCCCGTGAGTCCTAAGCACTAACTACTTATTCAAGCAACATTTGGCCTTAGCCAATAATGATGCCACCATTGGTTGAGAAGTCACAGCTCCCACCCTCCTCTGGATCTCAGGAAAATTTTCAGAGGTAAGAAGGGCAGCATCTAGTATTTAAAAAAAAAAGAAAAAAGATGGGGGGAAGAAACAAAGGTAAAATAACTTGAGCAGCATGACACATCTAGGTAGTATCTAGACTAACTAACCCCAATCGAACTCCTAGTCCTGTCTACCAAATCACATCAAATTATTAGGACTCTACTAAGATGCCCCAAGTGAAGAATTTACTTTCAAGCAAACACCTGAGTTTTCTTCTAAGTTGCAACAGGTCAGAAATTAATCATTTATGCCTTAGAGATGTAAATACTTAATCTGTAAACTGAGGCTTGATGGCATGGCACTCCTAACCAGGGTGTTACATTCAAAGCAAAGAGGCTGCAGAGGAAAGAGTGGCCTAACATGGCCTCGTCAGATAACATAAGAGGTCAACAAGAACATTATGTCTGAGGTTAAATGAAAAGATGAAAAAAATAATAGTAACATCCCCATAGAAACCTACCAAAACCTACTAGAGAGAAAAAAGAAGGAAAATTATTCTTCTGTTGATCTACCCTCTGCCTCCAAGAAGAAAATAACAATTACCTAACCCAATAGTTTCATATATTTCATAGTATTTGAGAAGTTCATCATAATCTTTCATAGTCCTGGAATTTTACTCAAAATTACAAAAAGAACCTGCAAAATAGAAATAGTACACCACCTAAAAGGGAACAATTATGAGATTTCTCTTCCGTTCTTATAACTGCAAATATAAATTAGTCTAAGGCATATAAATGATACTAGAAAAACTGATCAGCTGTATGAAAAATGTATGTATTATTCACACCATACATAAAAATCAATCCAGATCAAGTAAAGACTTAAATATGAAAGATAAACCTTTAAAACTTCTAAAAGAATTTTGTCATAATTTAAGGCTAGAAGAGGATCTTTTAAATAGATACAGAAAATGCTAATCATAAAAAATTAACACAATAAACAATATTAAAACTAAGAACTTCTGCATGTCCAAAGATATCATTTTAAAAAAAGAAAATCATAAATGTGAGAAGATATTTGCAACATATATAACAATGGATTTCTATCCACAAAATATAAACTCCAACACAGCAATATACAAAAAGACAACCCAACAGAAAAATAAGCAAATGATATAAAAAGGTATTTCACAAAGAAACACAAAAGGCCAATAAAAGATGAATAAATGCTCAACTTCATTATTCATTAAAGAAATGCAAATTGAGTCCAATGATTTACAATTTTAAGATACGTATAATGATACATATTTTATTATTATGCTTCAAAACTCACATGTGTCATATACGCTCTTAAGTATGTATCAAATAATATACAAAAACTGGTTATAAAAAAGTCTTAGGTAGATCTTATTTGATTTTGCCTTCCTGAGTTTTTAAATTACATAGAATTACAAAAAACCAGCGGGATTACTAAGGCCCCATCATGTGCAGGAATATACAAAGTCACAGTCATACCAGCTTTCTCTTACTCGTGGAAGATGTGCTCTCAGTCGACTTTAACTATAGATTAGCAGTGTATCTGGCAGAACTGCTAATGCAATCAGACTATGAACCCTGAATTTTCAGTCATTCATTTATTCATACAGATGAGTTTCTTGAGCACCTGTGATGTACCAAACCTACCCTTGGCACTACGGCTATAATGCAAACAAGAAATATAGTTCCTGCCCTCACAGATCTTACATTCTAGTAGAGAAGAAAAAAGGCAAATTGACAATAAATTTAAAAATTACAATTTGTAATAAATACTGGGAAAGAAATAAGCAATAGCAGTTAAAATGGGTCACTGAGAAGGTAATGCTTAAGCTAAGATCTACTTTGAAAGATGAGAAGTGAGAAGAAGAAAATCAGCCCTGCAGGTAATCAGACTGGGATACTCCTATCAAAACGTGAAGAATATTTCCAACAGGATCTGGAGTAATCATGGAAAGAATGTTTCTATACAGGCAGCTAAAATTATAATGATCCTTTATTTGACTGACTTCTGCTTTCTCACAAATGACACCCTCAGCCCGACCTCATTCCTCCCACCTCCTGCTTCCTAAAATACCCAAATGCTGAAATGCCTTTCGCTTTGATAGTATCCATCCCCAAACTGGTCCCTGCTTCCCTAATCCCTTCCTAAAATCACCCAGCACAAGCCCATATCTTATAAGCCCCTTTCAGTTCCCTCTTACTGAGATGCCCCAAGGTGCTAGGGAGTATGTTTTCTCTTGTAGCTAAAAACCTAATGTTTTCTACTACAGATGTGTTCCTAGTGGTCTTTGGTCAGTAGGCATTAACAGGAGTTGTTAGCCCAAAGAGAATGAGAACAAGAGCATTCCAGAAAGAGGGAATTTAGGTGCAAAGATCTCAGAGGAAGAGAAGGTTAACATGTACAGAACTGAAACTGCTTTTACAGGTACCAGCAAATGGAAATGCAGATTTAGAACTGGGACAACTGGTTAACCATACTTAAAAAAAAAGATCACTGGATCTCTATTGCATACCATACACAAAATCAATTACAATTAGTGTAAAGACTTCAGAGGAAAAGACAAATCTTTAAAATGTAGACAACTAAGGTCTTACCCATACCAGACCTACAGCCAGGAGTGGCATGAGGAACAGGCAGAGAGGGAACAGTTAGAAAAGCAAGAATTAGAAGAATAGTTTCATGAAAGCCAAGAAGAAAAAAGTAAAACCAATAAAAGAAGGCTTCTGGGAAGCAGATTTCTAAATAAATTTCTAAAAGTTCTCATACATAAGTCAAGTCCTAGGGCATGAGTTTAGGTGCTGCGAAGTGGAGCTTTCTTTATAGGTAGACCTGTGGTGAAAGCTCTCTGAACCAGTACAGAAATGGTTGCTCTAAGGGTTTTTTCTTCCCAGAGGCTGGTATGGAAGGACAGGACTTGGGATCTTAACTCTGGGAAGAGAGGCCCCCATACCCCTTAGAAAGCCAAGCAGGAACCAAAGGGTCTCAAGCAAGTGGAGGTCACTGAGTCAGACACACAGAATCTCCCATATAGTCCAGCACAGCACACCAGGGCTCTGGAGTTCACAAAGGTGTTTGAGGCCAAGATCCAGCTAGTGAGGAACTCTTCCTTTGCCTGGCCTGTCCCCTGTGCACAAATCTCCCATGGTGACCTAGTGGTGGACTAGCTATGGCAGCACAGGGTTCAGGATCCCGGGACCCCATTTTCTCTAACACTTATGTGAGTACACGCATAACCACTGGGACTTGGGAAGCAAGTTCCCAGCTGGAAAGGGCAAAGCTCATGCATCTTGATCACTGCCTCTCGGTAGTAGAGACCTGGTGCTAGTGGTCATTTCTAGAGCCAGACAGTCTCCTTTCTCTTTCACCAACAGACAGAGCCCCACAAGTCCAATGACAGACCTGGGATGGACAGGTGGCCAGCACCACGTTCCCTACCTTTAAGTTCTCTGTTCTTCATCCTCTCCTCGTCCAGAACAGAGTGATCGGCATGTTACAAAGCTTTAACCATGGTCATGCCTTTGGAAGACATGGAGTGTGAGTGCAACGTCCGGGGTGTGGTGAGTTTATAAAGGAAAAGACAGTCACAGGGTAGGTCCTGACTACAGCAAGGATGGATCATCTTATATTGAGGTGGATAAAACAATGAATGAAATTATCAAAAGCCCAAGAGCCACAAACGATATTTTTTAAAACATCCCCTTAAAATGCCTAAACTGAGCCAGGCCTGATGGCCTAGCGGTTAAAGTTTGGCATGCTCCACTTCAGTGACCCAGGTTTGTTTCCCGGGTGTGGAACCACACCACTCATCTGTCAGTAGCCATGCAGTGGCAGCGGCTCACGTAGAAGAACTAGAAGGACCTACAACTAGAATATACAACTATGTACTAGGGCTTTGCGGAGAAGGGAAAAAAAAGAAGAGAGGAAGATTGGCAACAGATGTTAGCTCAGGGCAAATCTTTCCCAGCGGAAAAAAAAAAAAAAGCTAAAGCACTCTGATCCCAAGAATCATTTTATTTAAAGATAAAGATAAATTATTATCAGCAAGTAAAAAGCCTTTAAAAATTTGTCAGTGAACAGAACACTAGAGCAGAGAAGCTTTGGAAGCAAAAGTATCAACACTCAAGAAAAATCAGTCAAAACAAAAAAAAAAGGGTTATAGTGTCAACATTGAAGCTGAAATAGCAAGAAGGATAAAGATCATGGACAAAAGACATTCCAATCCAAAAACAATATTAGCCATTTCCCAGGAAGAGGTGGCATCGTCGCATTGGATCAACTTAATAAACAGGTTGAATTTTTAATCCAGCTGAACCTTCATGGATGGGGTAGGCAAACAGAAGAAGCAGTCAGGGCCCAGTGCTGAGGGAAAGCTGGTGGTATAAAATGAAACAGTTCTGCTTTTGTTACTGGACACAAACACAGGTTCTTTATCCACCACACAAGAGGGGCCAAATAAAAACTGGAACACCAGGCTTATAACAAGGAAAGCACTTTTATTTCGGGTGACATCAGCCAGGAGACAAGATCAGCCCTCAAATTCATCTTGTCTCTCCGAAAGATGGGAGGCAAGTGGTTTTTAAGATAGCAAGGAATGCAGCTGCATGTGGAGAGGGGGAGCCTGTGGCCTTGCTGGTTGGTGCTTTCCCACCAGCCTGTTTGGCCCTGTGAGGGTGCTTGCCGGCAGGAAGATGGTGAGATAAGGAAATCCGCAAGTGGGTGTCCTTGGTTGTCTGTCTCCATGGTGGATGGTGGACTCTGGTGCCAGGAAGCCGAGGAGTAAGCAGGGAGAGGGGCTGAGTGCTCTGCTATAACCCCATGTATGCTGGGTTTAATGCAGGGGAACTGGTATCAGGGCCAGTATCACTTCCACTGGAGTGACAAAAGTTCCTCCAGGCAAGGAGACACCACAGAGGACATACTCATTCTCACCGGGCACCTGAGGCACAGGAGTAGAAATCTCCTTAGCAGCAGCACTAATTCAGAAATCTCTTCAAGGGCATTTGTCAGCGGGGCAAACGTGGGAATGCAGTGAAAGCACACCCTCACCAGACAGGAATAACAGGACTAAGAAATTTCACAACTGGCAATAACAATAGTAAAGGTACAGAGGTCAGCACACGACTAAGAAATCTTTGGGATCTTGATGAGGGGGAAGAGAAAGAGGAGGAGACTGGAAATAGTGGAATGTCAGCCTATAAATGTTTGGAAAGTTGCCTGCTATGGACGTAGGCCATCAGGTTCATCAGAGAGCACAGCCCCAACTAACGCAGTACTAGGGTACTCAGAACACAGAGGCTGAAGAGGAGCACAGAGACCATTCAAAGTTTACAAACCATGAGACGGAAATGGACAAAGGGAAAGAAGTAGGCCTCAGGAAATGCAAGAATCCTATTCGCCACCATTGCACACATCTGAATTCCACACAAAGGACTGGGCTATTTTAAATTGCCACACTCAGAGAGAGCAGTTTGTGTAATGTTGGAATTCACTTCCCCAGATGAGGGATCTAAGAGTATTATGATTAACTTCTTGATAGATTTCTCCCAAGTGAGCTTTGAACTTCCAGGTCACGACCTCTGGTCAACTAGCAGAGCTCAAACCATGCATCATCTTCGCCGTTTTCTCTATCTACCCCCGTCCCTCAATTACACCATGTCTTGGGTGAGTAACACCAATATGGGCCTAGATTATCTCTATTGAATTGGGAACATCGTACTTGCTACTGTACAAGAAAATTGGTGTTCACATGGCAAACTGCTAGAATAATAACAGATTTTACTCGGTTTTAAATTTGTGGATGTGAAGCTGGTTCTAAAGATTATTAAGTGCCCTGTTTATCCTCCAGGGTTTGGAAATATAGAACACAACAAAGATGTGATTGGAATAACCCAACTTGTAGCTGCTAAAGGAGGATTACGATCAGTCAGTGTGGACGGCAGCCTCTCCACTGTGAATAATGAGGGAAACTAGACCCCAATCAGACACGTGAAGGACCCCCTGAGCGTAACTAAACAGAAGAATTGGGGGCCATAGAATTGAGATCTTGAACTTCCCTGAGGAAACAAGGAATTGTCTAGAAAATAAGAGGAGGTTTACCACTAAATTTTATAGGATAGCAACAAATCGGGGACATATTCTTACTAACAGTATTTCTTACTAAAAGCATTATGCTATTACCTGCCATGTAATACATTCATCTTATCTAGTGAGCTTGGAAAGACATGGATGCGGGGAAATTTCAAATGAGAAGCAGAAGACTGATGGCTTATAATGTGGCCTTGTAATACATTTAATTAACATGCTGTCCTGCTCCCTCACAGAGGCTTCTGGGAGCACCAACGAAGAGGCATTCCTTCCTAAAGACATTAAGGGACGACCTGCCCATCTCATTGGTCCACAGGAGACGCACAAGGAGGGCAGATCCACGGTTGAAAGGAGCCCACGAAGGTGCAGTAACGGCTTTTCTGACTTCTCCCGCAGAACATGGGACCCAGAAATCAAAATTCGAACACAACGTTAGGAACGCTGGAGAAGGGCATGTGGGTGTGGCAAGAAAGGAAAAGTGGGTAATCGCAGGACCCATTGTGAAGGGCCGTGCCAAGATGGAGGTGGCAGGGGTGCTGACCAGAAAAGGGAGATGAGCAGATGTGCATTTCAGAAGGAGCCCAAGCAGCCACTCTGCCGGCATGGGAGGATCCAAGCCTGGCAAGGCAGGTTGGCAGCTGTGCTTCTCTGGCGGCAGGATGAATGCCTGAATGTCAGCACCACACGTGGCCAGGGCATCAGTGGGGACGGGAAGCAAAGGCTTCAGTCCATTCAGAGCAATGCCGTTTCCCTTCCAAGGCGGTCCAGGTTAGCGAGCCTCAAGCTGTAAACCACACCCTGATTCTTATATCCAATCCACGAGAAAATGGGCAGCCACACAAAATTCAGTTTGTGGCCACCGTCCTGCTGGAAAAAGAAATAGGCTTAAAAACCTATTAAAAATATTTCAGGAATTTGAATTTGAAAACTACTTTGGGAATTTGTTAAATTTCCTAATTTTGATAATTGAACTGTGGTTATGCAAGAGAATGTCCTCATTCTTGGGAAAACACACAGAGAGAGAGAGAGAGAGAGAAGAATGATGATGATGATGATATCAACGAAAATAATCCATAACTAATCTATAAATGAAAATTTGGGTGAGTTTATTCTGAGATAAAATGTGAGGACCATGGCCTGGGGCCTTTCTTACCGAAGGAAGAAAGGGCACCAAAGAAGTAGAATGTACAGAGCGGCTATATACCCCCAAACAGGATGTTTCACATATGATTGAAATGTCCCTTTTACAATAGTCATGAGACTGCTCTGTCAGCACAGTGATTGATGGACACAGCAGGTAGGTCAGCTGTCTCGGTGGACACAGCAGGGTGGCAGGTCTGTTGTCTTGAGCTGGGTGGTTACAGGTGAGCTGGGTGGTCAAAGGTGAGCGCAGCAATCAGTTCCTAGCCTAAGGAAAGATGCTTATCCCTAAGGAAATGCGAATGTGGGGGGAAGTTGCACCTTTATCTTAAGGCCATTTGTTCTTGCCATAGGAAATGCTTAAAGCAGATATACAACACGTGCTCAACGGCCATGTCAGACCCTTTTGGAAAAACAAAGTCAGGCCGAATTAGGTTTACACCAAATGGCTTCCTCATATACTCCAATATATCCTATTGCTTGCCACCAAGGAGGAGAGCATAGAACTTTAACCACTCAGCCAGGGGGCCGGCCCTAGGAATATGTTTCTTAATTCTGTTCATTCCTTAGCACCTACCACAAGACCTTAATACTACTATAACCAAACAATGATTTATCTCTTCAGTTTCCAATCTCTGCTAGACACTGTACCAGGGGTTGCATATACATCATTCCTAATCCTGCAGAGCAGGTATTCCTATTCCCACTTTGCAGATGAGGAAACTGAGGCTCAAGAAGTTTAGGTGTCTGGTAAGAAGCAGAGCCAGGGGTCCGAAGCCCAGGCTTTTTCTGCTGTAGTTCTCAGTTAATGTTTGCTGAACTGAACATGAGAGAAACTTGAACACTTAAAATTTAAGGCACCATACAAATATAAGGGCTTTATGTATTAATGAGAATGATTATGACCACTCTGATCTAAAGAGCACCCTCATCAATAGGCAAAAGCTAAATATTGTACAACAGAATACTACTCAACCAATTTTTCAAAATAATTGGGTAAGTATACTCCACTAGGGTTGCTAGACAAAATGGCAACATACTAGTAACATCTTTTTTTTTTTTTTTTAAAGATTTTATTTTTTCCTTTTTCTCCCCAAAGCCCCCCGGTACATAGTTGTGTATTCTTCGTTGTGGGTTCTTCTAGTTGTGGCATGTGGGACGCTGCCTCAGCGTGGTCTGATGAGCAGTGCCATGTCCGCGCCCAGGATTCGAACTAACGAAACACTGGGCCGCCTGCAGTGGAGCGCGCGAACTTAACCACTCGGCCATGGGGCCAGCCCCCTAGTAACATCTTTATACTAAAAAGTTACCCATTATTTATCCAAAATTCAAATTTAACTGGGCATCTTGTGTTTTTATTTGCTATATCTGGTGACCCTAAAGGCCATGGAAGGATGTCTGTTTTTTAAGTTAAGAAAATAAGCTACTGACATAGTTAAATAGCACAGCCCCATTTCTGTTTAGAAACACGTGTAAGTACAGGAAAAAGTCTGGAAAGATATACATTATAATGTTAACATTCCCTCTAGAAAATAGAATTAGGGTAAAACATGGAGAGAGGATTCAGTTTTCACTTTCTGTACTACTATATTGCATGTATTTCTTTTTTTTTTTTAAAGATTGGCACCTGGGCTAACAACTGTTGCCAATCTTTCTTTTTTTTTTTTTTCTGCTTTATCTCCCCAACCCCGCCCCCGTACACAGTTGTATATCTTAGTTGCAGGTCCTTCTAGTTGTGGGATGTGGGACGCCGCCTCAACGTGACCTGACGAGCGGTGCCATGTCCGCGCCCAGGATCTGAACCCTGGGCCGCCGCAGTGGAGCATGAGAACTTAACCATTCGGCCACGGAGCCGGCCCCTGCATGTATTTCTTATTGATATTCTTATTGAGATAATTATAGATTCACACGCATTAGTAAGAAATAATGCAGAGAGTCTTTATATGCATGCTCAGTCTCCCCTCTAAATAAGAAAAAGAAAAACTCTTGTCTGTTGTACTACTCACACTGAACACTTCTCCAACACCAGCCGGGTGTCTACAATTCAATTCAATTCTGATACTACCTATCTAGAGGTAGCATTTAACCCCACAAGTTAAGGGCTCAGTCCCACAAAACTGCCCCCACTTCAGGTGCCAATCAAAAGTCTGAGCCTCTTGTACTCTGACCAACTGGCCATAAATGAAGGGTCCCATGGCCCCTCCTCGGATTTGATCATTTGCTAGAGCAGCTCACAGAACTCAGGAAAACAGTTTACTTACCAGATTACTGATTAATTATGAAAGGATACAACTCAGCATCAGCGAAATGGAAGAGATGCCTAGGGCAAGGTATGTGGGAAGGGGCACAGAGCTTCCATGCCCTCTCCAGTCACACCACCCTCCCAGCACCTCGAGATGTTTAGCAGCCTGGAAGCTCGCTGAGCCCCTTCCCAAAGGTTTTTATGGAGGCTTCATTACGTAGGCATGATTGATGAAATCATTGGCCATCAGTGATTAACTCAACCTCCAGCCTCTCTCCAACCTTCCAGTCGGTTGGTTGGTTCCCCTGGCAAGCAGCCCCCATCCTTAGGGACTTTCCAGGAACCTCCAGCCACTAGTCATCTCATTAGCATGCAAAAAGACACTTATCACTTCAGAGATTCCAAGGGTTTTGCGAGCTGTGTGCCAGGAAAGCGGGGGTGGGGGCAGAGACCAAATATATACTTAATATGTCACACCCCAATGGCAACATTTTACAAACCTACAGTAAAATAGCACAACCAGGATATTGACATTGATGCAATAATCCACTAATCCTATTCAGATTTCCCCAGTTTACTTGTACTCTTTTGTACGTGTGTGTATTAAGTTCTATACAATGTTTCACCTGTGGAAGTTCATGTACCCACCAGCATAGTCAAGATACTGAGCAGTTCCAATATCTCAAGGTTCCCTTGTGTTGCCCTTTTTATAACGACATCCACCTCCCTCTGGACTGCACCCCCACTCCCCCTCACGCCAGGTTTAACCCCTGGGTAACCCCTAATCTAGCCTCTATTTGTACAATTTTGTCATCTCAGAAAGGTTATAGAAATGGAATTTTATGATATATAACCTTGGGGGATTGGCTTTTTTTGACTCAGCATGAATTCCTGGAAATTCATCGAAGTTCTTGGGTGTATCATAGTGCATTCCTCTTTACTGCTGAGTGGCATTCCATGGTATATACCTACCAGTTTGTTTAACCACTCACCTGTTGAAGGACATCTAGGATGGTTCCAGTTTTGGGCTGTTACAAATAAAGCTGCTATGAACATTTGTGTAAAGGTTATTGCATGCATTTTAAAACTAATCTTTAGATCTAAAAGTAATAGACGATACAAAAATGGTAAAACAGCAACAAAAAGCACAAATAAATTAAAAAGCAAACAACAAACTGGGAAATTTTTATGACTTATACATAGACAAATAAGATAAACTGGTAGCTGAGATTGCCTCTGGGGAGAACTGGTTGGCTAGAGGAAAGAGGAGGAAAGAAGACTTCTTTTCATCGCTTTGGCTTTTTAGACTTTGAATTTTATACCAAGCTTGTCTATTACCCTTTCAAAACTGAATTTCTTTTTATAATTTTTTTTTTTAAGATTGGCACGAGCTAACAACTGTTGCCAATATTCTCTTTTTTTTCCTTCTTTTTCTCCCCAAAGCCCCCCACTACATAGTTGTATATTTTAGCTGTGGGTCCTTCTAGTTGTAGCATGTGGGATGCCCCCTCAGCATGGCTTGATAAGTGGTGCCATGTCTGCACCCAGGATCCAAACTGGCAAAACCCTGGGCCACCGAAGTGGAGCACATGAACTTAACCACTCAGCCATGGGGCAGGCCCCTGAATTTGTTTTTAAAGTAATACATGTACTTTTAAATTTTTTCAAACAGATATGATCACTTCCAATAAAAAAAAAATTTTAAGAATGGTTTTCTGGGGCCAGCCCAGTGGCTCATCGGTTAAGTGTGCATGTTCCACTTCGGCGGCCCAGGGTTCCCCGGTTTGGATCCCGGGTGCAGGCGTGGCACCACTTGGCAAGCCATGCTGTGGTAAGCGTCCCACATATAAAGTAGAGGAAGATGGGCAAAGATGTGAGCTCAGGGCCAATATTCCTCAGCAAAAAGAGGAGGATTGGCAGCAGATGTTAGCTCAGGGCTAATCTTCCTTAAAAAAAAAAAAAAAAAAAGAATGATTTTCAG